AAAACAAAACAAAACAAAACAAAACAAAACAAAACAAAACAAAACAAAACCAGGCTTTGCTGGCTCCCCGTTTAGTCTTGTGCCACTGGAGCATACCCCGTGTGTCTGATCACATTTCTACATGGCTGTCCATTTTGAATCACATTTAAGTTTCCATTTTTGAAGATTCCCATATATTAAAGGCATATGCCACAACTGCCTGGTCTTTTTTTTTTTTTAAGAAAAAAAAAAAGATAGGGTCTCACTATGTAGCCTTGGTTAGTCAGGAACATGCTATGTAGACCAGGTGGCCTTGAACTCTTTATAATCACACGGTCCAGTCTGTTTGTTCCCTGGACAGCTTTGCTTCTACTTTCATGTCATATACACAAACTTGCCTTTATGTGCGTATTTAGAACTTAGGAACAAGTGAGAGAAAAACGTTTTTTTGTTGTTGTTTTTTAATGTTGTTTTGTTTTTTAAGTGATTGTTTTTAAAGACTAAATTGTTTAACTCATTTAATAACTATCTCCATTTACATCCATTTTACTGTCTATGATGCAACTATGTTCTTTATAGATGAAAAAGATTCCATTGTTTATAGATAACACATACATGCTCTTTGTCCACTTCTGTTAGACACATACATAGGTTGGTTCCATTAGCTATCGAGAGTAGTGCTGCAATAAATATCTCTGTTGTGTTGCCAAGGAATCTGTCAGGTAAATGCCTAGGAGTGTTTCTTAGTTACTTTCCGATTGCCATGAAGAGACACCATGACCAGAGTTATTTAGAAAGTATTTGATTGGGGGCTTATGTGCACTTTTAGAAGTTGACCATGACCGTCTTGGTGGGGAGCATTGCAGTAGGCAGGTAGATATGGTTCTGGAATAGCTGAGAACTTACATTTGATCCATAAGCATGAAGCAGGATTTGGGGTACAAACAGTTAGGAATGGCATGGGCTTTTGAAACCTCAAAAAGCCCACACCACTTAATCCTTCCCAAACAACTATCCTTCCACCAACTAAGGACTGAACATTCAAATATATGAACTGTTTTATCCTCCAAGTCCTAAGGATTTTCTATTTTCCAGGGTCTTTTCAAGCTGAGGCTGGCAGGGATGTTTGTCTTGTTCATCTCATCACCCCAGAGCCTCTAGATCTGCCTATATTTATTCCTAGGGCAGATATATTTGGAACCAAGTTAGCATGTCTGGTTAGGAGAGACAAGAGGCATAAAACCCAATTGTGCAGCTGTCCACGCCAACTTGAGGTGGTCTCCGGAGCAATTATTGAGCTCTACCGACAGTAGGCACAGACTGCCCTGTGGCACACAGTGGGATGCACTCACCGGCTGTTAATTCCCCAGCAGTCAACAGTGCTCCTGGCTCCACCCCCACCTCCCCACCCCTCCACCCCGCCTCAGGCTCCTTCCCTACTGGTGACTATCTGGCCTGTATCCCTTCCAGATGAGTATAGAAGGATGGATGTCTAGGTACAATGAAGAACAGGTGCTGTGGGTGGTCCGCAACCCATGAACAAAATTGCTGCTGCTTTCATCTTTACAAGATGGGGGATGTCATTATTCTTTCCTGCATCAATCCGGAAATACTATTCTGGGATAAAATCTGACATAGAAATAAACTTGGGGAACTAAGAAGCAGACTGATGAACTTTCTCTAAGCTCTCTCAGTTCATTTATTAAAAAACCGTTGTCAAAACTAGCGAGCAACATCAATAGGCATATAGTGTTGACTGGAGATCATAAAGTACTAAGACTTGAGAAGATCAAGTATAAAAGAATACCCCCCCCCCAGCATGGGCCATCTTGTTTGGGGGTAAAAAGCAGGCTTGCCTGTAGAGAGTTACAAGTGTCTGGCACACATTTCAACATGCTATACTTAAGAGAGGAAGCTAGACATGGTTCATTAGGTAACTTTTCATGACCTGTTCTAAAAGGTGGATGGCAGGTATACCATTACGCTGTTTGCACAAGCTGTGTGGATTTCACCAGAATGACTTACATGAAAGGACAACATGACCGAGGCCCGATGGCCAGTAGAGAACTGTGCTTGTTCAGGGGTCTAAATAAGGATTTAAAGTCATCCATGGAATGCAGTTTGATCATTGTCCACAATATAGAAACAAAAGCTAAGTTCCTACACTTTAACAACCGGCCATGATTCCCTGGAGCCTGACCCCTAGGGACTCAGTGATGTTTTATTCAGAACTATGGACCCTAACTCCTAATGATTCCATTGTATTTTATACAACTTGTGCTGTAAATTTGATTACTAGTCAACAAAAGTGAGGTGCCTATCTGTTCAAATAGCACCCCCACAAATGGTTCTCAAGGTAAGACCTAAGACATCTCCCTCCTAGTGGCTGATGCTTTGGGAACTTCCACTTCCTCTCCTGCAGTGATTTATTTTTTGTTTATTTTTTGGGGGGGGGCAGGGTTTCCACGTAGCACTGGCTGTCCTGAAACTCACTCTGTAGACCAGGCTGACCTTGAATTCAGAGATCCACCTGCCTCTGCCTCCCTAGTGCTGGGATTAAAGTTGTGTGCCACCACTCCTGGCTTCTTGGTATTTTAATGTCTCAGTTATGTACCCATGTCCTCTGACACCCGTTGAATGCACATTAACCCCTTTACTCCTTCCTCTTCTAGAAGCAACTGATAACCAACAAAGCTTTTGGAGAAGCAATATGATAGTTAAAATTATGTTTGTGGAAAATCATAGGTTCAGAAAAAACAGGGAATAATAAAAACAATTACTTGGGTTGGGATCAATTTGGGCCCCAAGTTATATCCCTAAGAGACTTAAAACTTACTCTCATATCAAAGCTTACAACCCCAGAAAGGAAGTTGTATTTCCTTTCAGTCACCTAAGCTGTGGGTCAGAATACTTCCCTATTGATCCAATCTTGTTCGTGTTTTATGCTTATAGCCAAAGTGTCTTAGTAAGCCTCACTGTATTTTCCTTGAAGAGAAAAAAAGAAAGCTTGGTGGTACCAGGGCATGGTACCACTCTACGACTGAACTTACAGTCTCAACCCTGTTATTTAGCTGGGTTGCCTTGCATAGTTGTACAAGCTTACAACAAAGCTTGTATTTACTTGATGAAAACGTCATGATTTTAGTGGTAAGTTTTTAACCCTAAAGCAAAATACTACAAAACAAAAAAGTAAAATCCATGACAGCCAAGCCTTTCTTGGTTTTGAAATGCAAATTTCCCTTTATGTAGAGATGACAAATTTCATTCCCTCTCAAAGAAATGGAGCAATTGACCTTGTGGCTCTAGCAGAGAATCCAGCTCCTCCATACAGCCAGGCATGCACGATACAGGTATAAACTTGCTGCCTAGTGTGGTCCCTAGAGTAACAGCAAGTTGCACAACTTTGGGCCTCATCCATCTCTCCTGGGACAGCATCTAAATATAGTTTTGACTATGAGTGCACTACATCCAACCATTAAGCTAAACCCCTAGTTTGAGAATCTAAATCTTACCAAGATCTCTTGGTGATTTGAGGTACACATCCAAGATGTAAGAACTATTCTAGGGCTGGCAAGATGGTTTAAAGGTAAGGGCACTTGCCAACAAGACTGATAACTAATCTTCATCCTTACGACTGACATGCTGGAGAGACTCACTATACCCAGTTGTCCTGTGACCTCCACATGTGTGCTGTGGTTTCTAGACAACAGTCCTGGTTGCTCTCCAGAGGCTGAGCACTACAATGTGGTGTGAAGGCAGCCTGGTCTTGATCTCAGACCACCACTAAACAGCTACTTCTCAGGACTGCTGTGAGAACCAAATGGGATCCAGTGAACTCTTTGTGTTCTGGTCCCAATCTACCTCCTAGACTTTATTCTACACGGCCATGCCACCACGGGCAGAGAATGCCATTTCTGCTTTAGACCTTGCACAACGTTCTCCTCCACCTAGAATTCCCTGCCATGTGATCTCTGCATGCTCAGCTTGCCACTCAGACCTCAGTCCAAGTATTATCTTCACAGTGGGAACATCCTAGACTGTGCTAATCAGTATTATTTATGTCAACTTGACATAAACTAGAGTCATCTGGGAAGAGGAAACCTCATTTGAGAAGAACCTTTTCTATCCTATAGGCAAGTTTGTGGGGGCATTTTTTTGACTAACGTGGGAGGGCTCAGCCCACTCCTGGGCAAGGTGATTCTGGGTTGTATAAGAAAGCAGCTGAGCAAGCCATGGAGGGTCAGTCAGTAAGCAGCTCCCCTCCATGACCTCTGCTTCAGGTTCTGCCTCCAGGTTCCTGCCTTGTCCTCCCTTAAAGGATTAAGCCAAATAAACCCCCAAGCTGCTTTTGGTCCATGTTTTACTGTGGCAATAAAAAGCAAACTAGGGGAGGAATTGGTACCATGGAGTACCATATTGTGGGGGAGGATTATGGGAAGTGTGTGGAACTATGGGTTGCAAAAGTGATTGTACACTCAAAGTTTAGTGGGCTGTTCCATGGGAACTCGGAAGATAAAAAGGCTGAGAGCAGTGCAGATCATGGAAGCCTGAATTGTGAAGTTATAGAGGACAGTTTGAGAATCTCTCAAAGAATTTGTTAGGACTGTTCATTTATTTTGTGTTAAACAACTGTGGTTTTTAATCTGCTGGGGCTGAAGAATCAGCTGTGATTAGCGAGGCTAATGCCACTGAGATAAAATCTGGGAAGTATTTTCTAAGGATCAGCACCCAGTGAAGCTTTATCTCAAGCTAGTAGCCAAACTTGGTACATGTAAGTCTTCCATATGTACTTTGGCAACATGGAGGCTTACAGGTGTGAACAGGTCATGGAGAGCAGCTGAGGCTTGGCACTATGGGAATCCAGAAGATGCCATTGGTGAAGATACAGTCTCAGTTGCAGTGAAGACCCAACATATTAGATGCCAGGATTGTGGGAAGATCAAGGACAGCAGCAGGTGTGGACTGGAGCTGGGCCAAGGAGACGAAGCGCATGTGCTGTGGATGGCAGAGCCGGAGAAGCAGAACTGCCCAAGCTTTAAAATCATGAGTGAATCTCAGATACCGTACACAGATTTACATTGTTGGTTTCAGTTTTGCTTTGTGCCTGGTTCGTCCCTCTTGAAATAAAAAGCATGCAACTTAGTTTTGACTTAACAGTAACCAGTTTTTCTATGTTTAGAGACTCTGGATATTTTAAGGAGACTGAGTGAATTTTAAGACTATAAGACTTTTAAAGTTAGATGTATTTATATTGTGACATTGATATCTTGGGGATAGACAAGTAAGTAAAGATTATAATTTAATAGTAATGTTTAGGTGTGTCGAGTAGAAAAGGAGTCAACAGTGCTAGTTATTTTTTATTTTATTTTTGGTCAACTTGACATAAAGTTCATTCATAAAATTAGAATTTTATGAATAAAATTCATAAAATTTCATAAAAATTCATAAAGTTAGAATTCTCTCAGAAGTGGAAATCTCAGTTGAGAAAATGCCCCGTAGGAAAGTTTGTAGGGAATTTTTTTTCCCCTTTCTCCAGACAGGGTTTCTCTGTAGCTTTGGAGCCTATCCTGGAACTAGCTCTTGTAGACCAGGCTGGCCTCAAATTCAGAGATCCACCTGCCTCTGCCTCCCGAGTGCTGGGATTAAAGGCATGTGCCACCACTGCCCAGCTAGGAGCATTTTCGTGATTAGTGATTGATGTAGGAGGGCCTAGCTAACTGTAGGCACTCCCACCCTTGAGCAGGTGGTCCTGGGTTTAAGAAGACTGAGCAAGCCATGAAGGGCAAGCCAGTAAACTGTTCCCCCATGGCCTCTCCTTCAGTTCCTGCTCTGACTTCCATCAATGACAAACTTGGTCGTGGAAGTAGAGGTGAACTAAATCTTTCCTCCCCAAGCTGCTCATGGTTTTATTGCAGCAATGTAATGCAAACTAGGACAACCACACATCTGGCCACTCTGGCAAGCATTCTGTGTAAGAGACTTACCACACTTTCTGAGCAGGGACAAAGAATATCTAATTCAGGATCGTAATCCTAGTGTTCCGACAGCTGTGCCCAGATGCTGTCTGCTCACTACACATTACTTAGCGCAGAGGACAAAGCTACTCTGAAGAGTGCAGTTGACTAGAAGAACATCAAACACTTTTGTTTACAGACAACCTTCCTTGCTTTGACCTACTGAGTTCTCTTGGCAGTGATAGAAATTACACTGGTTTACTCTCTGATCATGTTATGTAAGTGAAAATCTGCATTGTCACGAAGAGACTGGCTGGGCATGGTGGTGCACGTCTTTAATCCCAGCAACAGGGAAGCAGAGGCAGATGGGTCTACATAGTGAGTTCCAGGAGAGCCAGAACTACCCCATCTCAAAATAAGTAACAATATATAAAAAGGAAAGACTGCTTTTCACCAGTCTTGAGGTGCTAACTCACGAGCTGTCTGTCTTCCCTTCAGGTGTTAAGCTGTTCACATTACGCCATTTTATCCATATCCCTGGATACTGCTGAGGTCCCAACTTAGGACCTCATAAAGATGACACTCTGTTCAGAGGCTGGAGCAGGATAGCCAGATGGCCTGAAAACTTGATAGGCAAAACTGCCTAAGACACAGGGAGAATCTACTTCCTTAGACACTAAGCTAAGAACCGCCCAAAGACTCCTTCGACCACAAGTCTGACATTTAACAGTGGCTTATTTAGCTGTGACTTTCATCACTTATGCATGACAGAGATTTGTGTTAAGTTCAATATTTAAGGTTCTAAAACATTAGGTCACATATTATATGATGTATAAAAGTAGCTGCTTATAATTTTCTACCAGGAAAGCTAAAGAATTTCTCTTGTTACCATCAAGTTATGCTCAATTCATCTCCGCATCATGGCAGGGTGGAGAAGCCTCTTCGTGACGTTTCCTGAGCTCAGTAAATAGTAGAAAAAGAAAAGGCACACACCTGACAGTCCATTTATTTGCTGAGAAGCCAGACAGAGCAAGGGCCCCATCTGCTGGTGCTGGCTAGAACAGCAGGGAGTTAGAGAAGGGTGTGGTGATGAAGGGAACCCGCACTGATCTTTTCCACGGCCAAGTAGTCCGCATGATGCTACTACATGATCCTACTGTATGGAGCATGGCTTCATTATTCTTAGACACAAAAGGAAACGGTTTTCTAACATTGTCCATGATTCCACATCCTCAGGCTTGTTAGTTCTGTTTTATATTAACTGAACGGCTCCAGAAGCAACAAGAGGTGCAATGGTTTTGTACCGGATCAAGTGCTGTGAGCCCTCCTCCAAGTCAATAACATAGTCTCTGAAAGAAGAGGAGAAGTTTTATGTACAGAATTTAGCTACTCCTCCATGGGGAAGCCACACATGCCACTCACCTCTGCTCATCTGCTTCGGGTTCTACTAGGATGTTTTCTTGTCGCTCCTTCACTCTCAGAAACACGTATGAGTCTAGGTCTGGTTTGGGAACTGCCAGGAAGAGACAAATGTAATCATAAAACAGCTGACATGTTCAGTATGGACGAAGGTCACTAGGGTTAATGCTATTGAGACTGGTGATGAGGAGGGAGAGGTGAGGGGTGACCGACAATGTGGAGAGGACTCTCCTATGCAGCAGTTTCCTATTTTGAAAGGGGTCCATTCCAAGAACCCCAGTGGATAGTACCAAACCTTATATATACCTCTCTTTATGTACATACTTATGATAGAGCAATTATACTGTAATAAAGTCAGTGTGGCTTCTGTTATTGACCTGTACCCACCTTATGCTTGTGATGAGAGGACATAATGCCTACATGATAAAGGAGATAAATTACTTACACATTATGAGATAGTTTGGCTACTGCTTTAACACAAGTACTAAGGTAAAGTATCAGTGATCTGGTGAGACTTCATAATACTGTTCAGAACAGCAGAGGATTAAAAACAAAGTATTTATTTTATGTGTATGAGTGATTGCCTGCATGTAATGCCACAGACACCAGAAGAGGGTGTTGGATCCCTTGGAACTAGAGTTGTAGATAGTTCTAAGTTGCCATGTGGGTACCAGGAATCGGACCCAGGTCTTCTGTAGAGGTAGCGAATGCTTTTAAGCACTGAATCATCTCTCTAGTCCTAACGGCTCAGGATTTAAAACTTACAAGTCATTTCTAGAACTATCCAGTTTGTATTTTTGGAACATGGATAACTATAGATAACTCATCTTGAAAAGTGAAGGCACAGATGAGTGGAAACCACTGCACACTATGGAAGATACAAATAAGTATTGACACATCTCCCCAGATGAGGCGGTAACTAAGCTGCAAGTGGAACCTCACATTTGTGGCATATACTTTCAACAGTGTGGACAAAGGAGCAGATGTGCTTTTTTTCTTTAAATAAAAGCCCAGGGTTTAAAGATGAGAAATGAGGCTGACATAAAATATACATGAAGATCTAGGAGCTTATATACAGGTCAGCTTGGGTTACAGGTGAGTGCTGAGTTTTAGACAGAGCAGTCTCTCGACAACGAAGGCTAAGGAACTGCTGCTCCCCTTCCACCACCACTGCTCTGGGTCTCACAGGCTCGACTATATCCCTTTGGAATTCATATATGCAAGTTATAATTTCTGGGATTTGGAATGGAACTATGGAAGAAGGCTTTTAAGAAGGTATTTAAGTTTAAATGACACCATTAAGGGTAGGTCCTAAGTCAATACGACCTCTGCTCTGATAAGAGGAGACTAAAACACAGAAGGCTATAGTGACTTTAAAAAGAGGCCCGAATGCTTGCTTCTTCCCTTTGCTATGGAGGACACAGAGAAGGACCATGAAGGGGACAAGTTCTAACTAGAAATCAGGTCTGGTGCCTTGATTTTAGATGTCCAGATGTCAAAACTGGGAGCTGTTCAAATGTACTAGCACTTCCCTTACCACAGGTCTCCTGGTGCAGCACACATGCCAGGGCAAGAGATGAGGGCACCACTGTATGTGTGGCCTGGGGACACTGAGCGCAAGCTTGTCTTATTAGACTACACTGTAGCAGGCTGTGAAGCCCAGGGACCCACAAAAGCTTAGCTGGCCAATCTTTAGAACAGAGCTGAAAAGTCCTTTCTAGAGGCAGAAAACTGTTTCTAGCTTCCTTTGTAGCCACCATATTCTAAAACCTATGAAATCTGTGAGGCCTGCTCCCCTAGAACTAAGAAAGGTCCAGGACCCTCCAAGATGCTCAGAAGGTATGTGGCTGAAGAAATGAGAAAGTCTGTATCTGGGGTAGCAGCCACTTACAGGACACAAGGGGAGTACTGCTAAAACAGTGGCCTTGACATCTAGTTTTGATTACTTTGGTTTTTAACCAGAACCCTCCCTCTTTTCTCCTCTTACCTTAGTTACATATTTTCCTATACTGACTCTCAGGTGTCTGAAGATGACTGGGATGTATATTATGGTCCTGATGCTGATCTGGAAAAGGCAACTTTGCTTACCTGCCCTCAAGAGGTCCACTTTCTGCAGGTTGGGAGGCATGTGCTTTAAGGCAACATTTTTAAGATGGGTCTCTGTGTGATCCATATATCTGGAACAAAGAAATTCAAACTGGGGAAGTAGAAAAAGACAAGATCTCCTGAGTAAATTGGAAGCATGGGGACCTTGGGAGAGGGTTGAAATGGAGGGGAGAGGCAGGGAGGGGAGCAAAGAAAAATGTAAAGCTCAATAAAATCAATAAAAAAATATATAAAATCTGTCTCATCTGAAAAAAAAAAAAGAAATTCAAACGGCTCTGGTGTGCAGCAACAGGAACCACCAGGGCTACCAGGCTGACCACTGTGGACAAAGCCCACACGGGACGCCAAGTGCAGAAGCCATTCCACACTTCGTGTTCACTTACTCTTTGACAAAGACAAACTCCTCTGGAGACAGGACGGAAGGCTCCCCCACAGCGCGCATTTTCTCCTTTTCTAGGATGTGCGGGAAAAACTTCTCTATCTATAAAGATAATAAAAATGAATTCATCATTTAGGGCTCATATACTTGCTTCCTTGATCTCAGTGCCTTGCATATACTAGGCTAATGCTCTACCGCTAAGCTATACCAAGGTCAGTTTTATTTTGTGTGTGCCTGTGCATGCTCATATGTGTGTGGTGGGAGTACACACATGTATATGCACACAGGTACAGGCAAGGAGGCAACCTTGGGTTCATTTCTCAGGAGTCACTGATGTGGATTTTGAGACATTGTCTCTCACTGTCCTGGAGCTTGCTGAATGAGGTTGTCACTAATTTTAAAGTGGACAGGAAAGGGCTACAGAAATTTTTCAGTGGTTGAGAGCATTTATTGCTCTTGCAAAGGACCTGGGTTCAATTTCCAGTACCCACAGAACTGCTCACAACCATCTGCAACTTCAGTTCCAAAGAATCCAATGCCACCCTCCAGCCTCCATGGGCACCAGACAAGAACACCGAATAGTATGCAGGCGAAATACCCATATGGGTAGAAGCAGCAGCAATAACCAAACTGACAAGGAACTTGGTATGTGGCTTGGTGGTAGAGCACCTATCTAGCATGAGTAAGGTCTAGTTCCTCAAGAACTAGGGGAATGGAGTTTAAAAAATAAATCAAACAAACAATAAGCTTCCAAGAATTTAGAGAAAGATTCCAAGACCTCAAAAAGGAAAACAGTTCAAAGGGCGAAAGCTATTGAAAAGAAATTCTAAAAATACTGTATCTGATACTAAAGAAAAGAAGGGGTATCATTTAATATTTATTGTGCAGGTATGAGTTGAAACCCATACAAAAGCTGAAAAAATATATACAGAATATACAGATGTAAAAATGACATTTAATTATAAGAATATCACCAGAAATAAGATATATAGCTTGGAAAACAGTAATAAGACCTACAAAAGCTCAACATCAATAACAAGATGACCAAAATGAACAAGCAAGCCTGGGAGGGACTGGCCTGCAGTGTGGAGTAAGCACTGTCATGCCTGTTAGAGAGAGGGGTCTAAGAAACTGACAGTGGCCAGTGGGGACAGAGGGCCAAGACCGGGAGCAACCACTGCCCTTTAAACCTGCAAACCAATTTTTAAACTTTTTTCCTTGTATATTATTTTGTAAAGTTACCTAACCTTCAGGCATGGTGTTAAAACCTACAATCTTAGCACCCAAGGACTCAAGTTAGAGGTAGTCCTGGTTACACAGAGACTTATCTTAGTAAAGGTAAGGTCTGATAGCTCTGTGATACCTTTTTAGAGAAACCAATCCTATCAGTGAACTGAGAGGATTAGACATGGATGAATAAAGCGCATCCAGGGGATTTGATGTCCTCTTCTGGTCTCTGAAGGCACCACGTATTCACATGGCGCACATACATGCAGGTAAAACACTTATACACACAAAAATATTTAAATCGAAAAGATAACACTTAAGAGACTTAAGTATCAAAGTCCTAAATTCAGGGGTCAAAACCCAAGTCATATAAGGACATCAGGGCGCCCGGTTGGGTAATTATACTTCAAACACTTCAGGATGGTTCAGTGCACAAAGACCTTACTGAGATGAATCTAGCTGTCAGCCATGCTAATGTTATCTGAAATGGTGCCCACCCACCTGACATCCTCAATAACGGATGTGACTGCCCTAGTCCACTGTAGTTTCATCACTTCTGTGGACGAGGACAGTCAGATAGCCAGAGTTACACACTGAGACCCTGTCTCAAAAACAAACAAACAGTTTCAATTTTATTTTTGTAAGTCAGGCCACCACAGGGCTATAGTAGAATGGCAAATTATCATAGCCCGTTTGATAGATCTAAATAACTGGAGTGGCTCTCACTAGCCAGGCGGCTCTCTCCCGAGGAACTCTATCTTTAGCTCTGACTCATTCTAGCTCCAGAGGGCACCACTGTCATCAGATAAATTAGATTTAAAATATGTTAAATTTCCTTTTTTCTTTCTTTTTTTTATCTGTTTTAGGAAGGGAAGGGGAGAAGGGGTAAAGAAAGAAAAGGAAAGAGCAGAGAGAATTAGAGAGAGAGAGAGAGAGAAGGGGGGGAAGGGGAGAAGTGCAGAGAATGGAGAGAGGCAGAAGCTAAAATATGTTAAATTTTCTTGGGCTTGTTCAACCTATAGCTTCAGCTACACTTCCCAGAGTGTAGCCTCCATATTCTCTGGCTTTAGTGATGCTGGGCTCTTAGAATCTGGAGGCTCTGAACTTCTCCCCATGCTATTCAATATTTCAAATTTCACTGGATTAACGCCCATCAAACCTTCATGAGTCGACACCGCAAGTAGCTGCTAAGGACATAGCGGATCCTCTCCATCTCCATTCGATGAATGCTGACCTTCAGATCCCCCCTTTGAGCTCTTCTGAGATTGTCTTCCTAGTATAAGAGAAATTTAAATCACAATGTTCAAACACTAAACAACATAAACATTAGCAAAGTCAAGGACCAAAGGTTATGCCGTTCTAAGATAACAAAGAACTCCATTAGGTAACTGTAATTCTTGCTTGATACCTGTTTCGTTGTATGTAATCTTGCTATGTCAAAATTAAAACCTTCCTTTTTATTTAGACAGAAAAGGGGAGGTGATATATGTTGTAAATATGTTTTATTGCCACGTGGCGATACACAGATTAATGGAGATGGGTTAGTTAAGGATATAAGAGTTAGCCAGAAATACCCCTAAGTTATTGGCCAAACAGGATTGCAAATAATATAGCTTCTGTGTGGTTATTTTGGGAGTCTGGGCAAGTGGGAACACAAAAGTGGATTCCTACTATAGCAATAAATTCCATATATATGGAATATATATATATATATATATATATTCATCTTTCAGTTCTCTTCTTCTAGAGAACCTTGACTAATACAGTTGGAATGTCTTTTAAAGTACTGGGCTAAATCAAACAAGACTTGCTATCAGAGCACCTTCCGCTATCCTGACCAAATGCTTTCAGCTTTTGCCTCCTCTGCAGCTGAGACAAGTAACTCTCACCATGTGCTCCAGCTGCTCCATGACACACTCGACAATTTCAGACTTGCTTTCCAGTAGCTCAGGTGCGAACTTCTCATTCATCCATGCCTAAAACCAACGGGAAAGATTGTGACACAATGGAGCAGAACACACTAGAGACAGCTCATGGGCCCATGAATGTTACACGCATCTCACATACAAGACTAGCAGATGGGATAGCGCATGCTTTACGGTGGCCTTTCCATCTCTTCTTTTAGGGAGGAAGCTTTATTCAACTGAAGAAAACGTTTAAATCACGGTTACTTCATTCGTCACCACGGTAACTTCTAAGTAATGCCACTTGGTGCTCTAGCCTTACCTGTCACCTGAGAGTATCAACTGGGAACACATTTCTACTTCCTTACCAACAGGGAGCATCATCAATTTTCTTCCTTTCTCCTTTTTTGAGGCAGGAGACCAGTTGCAGACCAGACTGGCCTCAATCCCATTGGCCTGCTGCTGCCTTCTGAGTACCAGCATTAAAGGGACATGCCACCACACTTGGCTCACACTTAATCTTTCTAATAACTTTTTTGTTGTTACTACTTAATCTATTAAGAGTGTGTGTGTGTGTGTGTGTGTGTGTGTAAGAGAGAGAGAGAGAGAGAGAGACAGACAGACAGACAGTCACAGCACATGTGTGGCGGTCAGAAGACATCGTGTAGGTCCTGCTGGACAAACTCACGTTGTTAGGCTTGGAGGAGTCTTTACCCACGGAGCTACCTTGCTTGCCCAGAATATTTATCTTTCAATTACAGGAGTTTCAATTAGCTTAGTTCAGATTTATATGACAATCACACCCAACCTTTCTGATTTGCTTACCCAATTATCTCTGCTTACCCAATTATCATCATGACACAATAAATATTGTGTTCTGATATAACTGTAAATTTTACTTCAAACTTTTCTAATAGTGATACATCTATATAAATAAATTCGTTGTAAATCTGGGGATGAAACCAGGGCTTAGTGCATGATAGGGCAGTTCTCTACCACTGAGCTATACATACTCCCAGCCTCCAGTCAGAATATTAAATATGTTCATCATTGTTACGAGCTGAATTTTGTTCTTCAAAATCTGTGTGCTGGCTGGGTTCTGACTCAACAGCAGAGTAGTTGCCTAGCATGTGCGAGCTCATTGGTTCTGTCTTCAGAATCACAAAAACAAACAAAAATTCCTATGTTGTGATCCTAACCCAGTGGCTCCAAGTGTGGCTGTTTGGGAACAGGGCTTTATGGAGGTGAAGCTGCTAATGTGAGCTCATTAGGATGGGCACCTAATTCAATGTGACCTGTCTCCTTTTCAGAAAACCAAATTCTATCACCGCTACAGCCAAGAGGTCAGATCAAGTGAAGACACAGGAAGAGAGCCACCTGTAGGACAAGGAGAGAAGTCCCAGAAGAAAGAAACCATGCAACAACTATGGGGACACCAGCCTCTTATATACAAAAATAAATCTCTTGGGTAAGCCACTCAATCTGAGCATGATTATGCAGTTCTGGCAAACAAATGCAATCACGGAAATGAGAAACAATGCACTGCAGGAATTTTTTTTTTTTTTTTTTTGGTTTTTGGTAGCTTTGAAGTCTTTTAGACTGGGCTTGCCTCGGACTCATAGAAATCCACCAGTCTCTGCCTCCCGAGTGCTATGATTAAAGGTGAGTACTGCCACCACCCGGCTTGCAGTAAATCTTTTAAACCTCTTATTTAAAATACATCTTCCTCTTTCCTTTTCTCCCTCTCACCCCTCCCATATCCAATCCCCTCAAAAATTCATGGCCTCTTTTTTTTTTTAAAAAATACTTATTTATTTATTATGTATACAATATTCTGCGTGTGCCCGAAGGCCAGAAGAGGGCACCAGACCTCATTACAGATGGTTGTGAGCCACCATGTGGTTGCTAGGAATTGAACTCAGGACCTTTGGAAGAGCAGGCAATGCTCTTAACCCCTGAGCCATCTCTCCAGCCCACATGGCCTCCTCCTATTTATCATTACACATACATGCAAATAAGCACACAACTACAAGCTGCTTAGTTCATTTAGTGTTACTTGTATGTATGTTTTTAGTATTTATTATTTATCCATTGTATTATTTATCCATTTAGTATTGGATAACCATAGGGATTTCATCCCCAAGGAAGACTAATTCTCCATCTCTGAGCAGTTGTCGACTGCCTGCAGCTAGGTTAGGGGTGGGGTTGTATATGATTTCCCCCACTCCTGCGGGGATGTCAGCTGGTGTTGTCATGCATTGTTCTGGCCTTGTTTAAGCAGCCACAGTCGTATTATTGCGCTTTCAAAGGCATAGCTTCCCTGTCATATATAGAAGACAACTGCACAGCAGATTTCCTGGTCCTCTGGCTCTTAACAATCTTTCTACTCCCTCTTCTTTGATGTTCCCTGAGCCTTAGGGGTAGGGGCTGGGTTGCAGATACATCCACTGGAGCGGGGTACCCCATGGTCAGCTGTCCTCTAAATACCATTCAAGAGTAGATGCAGGGCTGGAGAGATGGCTCAGAGGTTAAAAGCACTGGCTAATCTTCCAGAGGTTCTGAGTTCAAATCCCAGCAACCACATAGTGGCTCAGAACCATTTGTAATGAGATTTGGCACCCTCTTCTGGCGTACAGTCATACATGCAGGCAGAATATCATACATACTATACATAAAAAAAAGAGTAGATGCAGCGCATGCCCCAGAACTTGTGGGGGATTGTAGTGCATGTTTTACTGACAGCACACAGGTGGCAAAGGCAGGTGGTCTCTGAGAGTTCAAGGCCAGCCCTATCTCAAAACCAACCAACCAAAAAACCCCAAGCATTTTCAAAACTCCTTAACAACCAGTTTAATGAGATTTTATATATATATATATATATGAATGTATGTATAGTTATATGTATAATTATATATAAGACTATAATATAATAACATAAAACCTCATAAAATCTTTCTATAAAGCTAAGTTACTAGAGCACAGAAATAATCATTGCTATTATGACTGGAAGGTACGTTGGTATTTTTTCTGCTAAATCAGACACTCTCCAGTGAAAAAAGAAACAGGCAATAGAGAACCGCAAACTCCCACCACACACATCTTTATGTCCTGAGAACACCACTGTGGTGCCCTTGTGAACTGTTCTACTAAGCGGCGTTACAAACGCTGCTCTTTGGAAATAACTCTTCGGCGTCCTCATTTTCTGAGCCCTGATATTGCCCACCTGGAGTGAGTTAAGGCCTAAGAACGGGGCATAGGGGTCCTATTTGGGGTGCTTACCTGCTCCAGCCTTTCAATGAGCTCTGCAGGAGTTAGGACCACCTCCTCACTACCCCCATCAGAGTCCTGTTCATGGAGATCCAGCTCCTCGGTCATGGTTTCTGAACCAGGAACCTAAGGAGAATAAATCAACACCCTGTCACGTTTTTCCCATTCACTTGCAAATGCCTTTTTAGGGCAATGTTTACTGAGGCTGGAGGGCCACTAGCCAGGGATGGAGAACTCACAGACTAATTTCCAGTGTTGCGCTTAGTCCCTCAAGAATTGGGTCATTTTCTCTAATCCTTTCGCACTGCACGGGCTTGGAACTAAGTAAGCATCTACCATACTAAACGGCAAGTGTTTCTTTTCGTCCCCAGTAGCAGTGGGTTTTTTGTTTGTTTGTTTTGCCTTAGTGGCCCAGATGTGAAGCTCGCATCGCGTTCTGTGTCTGGCACAGCCAGTTCGCGGCTACAGCTGACCCATGTCACCCGGGCGCTCCTATGCTCACCTCACAGCAGTCACTTAAGCGGCTACGCGGAGCGAGAATTCGTCTTCCCTCCCCTTCCGGCCCACACGCTGGCGGAGAACCGCTGGCAGACCCTCCACCTGCGGCGGACTCCGGGCTGGAGCTCCGGCGAAAAGCCGCTGCGGACCGCTTGCCCAGACTCGGCCTCCTGAGGTGCAAATCCCGCGCTTCTATCGCAAACTCAGCGTCCACCGGAATGACGTCAGCACGCTGGGGAGAGCGTGCACAGCCGCCTCCCTTTACCCCGCCCACCATTCGCAGTGCAACGGAGCGTACTTCCGGAAGGCGGTGGCGAAGGCCGGGAGTGCAGGCTTGGGTAACGCCAGCTCGGGCTCGCCACGTGGGGGCGCTCACCACGCAGCGAGGGAAGCAGGCAGTGCCGCCTGGCGGCCGACCCGGGCAGCTGCCTGCTTCCGTCTATTAAAATCGATTGCTTCTCCTTTGCGTGGCTCAGCTACACCTTCATCTGGAGGCCCGTGAGAAATGCGGATTCTCAGGCCCGAACTAGACCAATGCATCAAATTCCCCTGATTGCTATGCAGGCGGTTTGCTTCCATTCAACATAGAGAGAAGGAAAACAAGTGTGTGTGTGTGTGTGTGTGTGTGTGTGTGTGTGTGTACGTACATATATGTATATGTGTATATGCGCGTGCACACACACACAATACTGGGTTATTATTTCCGTTGTCTGGTTACCAGTATTTCTTTGAATTGTAGATGCTTTTCTCTCTGACATATTTTGTTCTGTGCAAAATGTCAATTTTGACAGTTCTAGATTTGTTTATCTGTAGATTGGAGGACTGGGAAATTTCCTATGCCATGTTGACCAACTGGAAAACAAGGGAAAGCAAGCCGTTAGATTGATATTGCCTGGATTATCATAAAAATCACAGGTCTGGGGATATAGCTTAGTTGGTAAAGCGTTCACTTTGTAAGCAGGAGGGCCTGAGTTCAATACCAGAATTTGCATAAATGAGTCGTGGCGGCACACATTTGTAACCCCAGCACTCTGCAGGTGGAGACAGGAAGATTCCAGGGGTTTGTGGGCCAGCCACTAGCCCCATCAGTGAGCCACAGTACCATAGAAAACCATGACTAATGAGCCCAATAAACTCATTGGTTCACCAGAGTGACTGGTTTAACCTTAGGAGGAGGGGGAGATGTGACTTCACCCTCTGGGAAAAAATTTTAGTAACTGTGTGTGTGTGTGTGTGTGTGTGTGTGTGTGTGTGTGATTGCATGTTCATGTTTGTGTAGGCATGTGCCACATATGTACATGGACGAGTAGAGGCCAGAGGTCAACAACACTGGTTGTTTCCGTACATTGCTCTCCACCATTATTTTTTTTTATTATTTTTTTAAGATCGTTTTCTTACTGAATCTGGGATTCTTTCAATTAACTGCTCTGGGTGGCCAGTGTTCTTCAGGCTTCCCTTTTCTTTCCCAGTTCATGGGTTATGTGCGGTGTTGGGGATCCAGAATCAGGTCCTCATGTGCAACCTTCCTCTTCAGCCTGCTGACCTTTCAAAGGTCTCACCTGTCACTGAGAAACTTCCCTCCTTTGACATTTAATGCGGATTGGCTTCAATGCCAAGCCAGTTGCACTATCATTTGATAGATTCATAAATATAGATGTTGAAGCTACATACAAGAGACCCCACTGTCTGCCCTTTGCATTCTTTTGTACAGAAATGTTCTCTGTTATTTGAGTTGTTCTTTTTGATAATGGAAGAATGCCTATTCTCTATCTAGGAGTCTTCCTTTTTAGTGTGCGTGAATTCGGTGTATGTGTATGGTGCGTGCTCACAGCTACGGGGGCAGTGGGGACCATCTGCCTACCCATAGAGACTAGAGGATGCTTCACCATTCTCTGCCCCATTCCCAGGAGAGAGGGTCTCTCGCTGAACTTGGAGCTATGCTGACATCGAGGAAACCCCAGTGATGCTTTGGTATCTGCTCCCCACATGACTGAGGTTATAGGTGTGGGTAGTCATACTGAGCTTATTAATGAGGGTGCTAGGGAATTGAACCCCAGTCATGATTGCATAGCAGGCACTCTTACCCGCTGAACCCCTTGTTTTTCCTTAAGGATTTATCTTCTTTGTTTTATTTGTGTTAGGTGTGTGTGTTTGCACAGGAATGTGTGTGCCTACTGAAGCCAGAAGAGTGCATCGGGTCCTCATCAGTATGGGGCGCTGACAACCAAACCTCTGTCCTCCGGAAGAGCAGCAAGTGCTCTAAACTAGTGAGTTACCTAAACTTCCTCATTAGAGTTTTGGAGATGGAATCATATTGGAATTTTTATATACACCTATAAATTATGCATCTTGATACACTAATACTTAAAATAGAAATAACAGCAAGAATAGAAAGTTGCAGAAATTTAAGTTTTTGGTAGCTTACAGACTTTTGGCATTATGCCTGCATTTTTTCATGAAGTAATTGGTATTGACGGGGATGCAGCATGGCGGTACAGCACACTCTTGGCATGTGCCCTGGGTTCAGCCCCCAGCAACAAAATAAAACAAAGTCTCTTTCCACAGTTTATCACTAATGTAAAAAAAATTATATTTGATACAGGGTCTCATTATGTAACTCTGACTGACCTAGAACTTGGTATGCATATCAGGCTGGCCTCAAAGGAGACCCACTTAACTCTGCCTCCTAAGATGTAAAAATTTTAACATTCATTAAATAATAACATTAGATTATTTAATAACATTCTAATAACATTAGTAAGGTAAATAAAATTATATGTTCAGGGTCATAAATAATTATATTGATTTTTTATTGTAAAAAATCTTGGAAAAGATAAGGTAAATTCCATCTGCAGAGTAGCCCAGAGTGATAGACATTACTGTTTTTATCTTTAGTTATGAAAATGTCATTTTAGCTGAAAATGCTTAAGTTGGTGATGAGTTTGTGTTGTTAGACATTTTGAAACAAGAACCAGCAGCCTTGGCTATCTGGAACATTACAGTAGATCCTGTAACACAGTTGCCATTCTAGGAACTGCTCAGCCATAAACTTGGGTTGTGACCTAAGGAGCCCTGTGAATGCTGAGATCACCCTGGGCTTTTATCTGCTAGAGGGCTCCATCTTTAACGTTTACATTGAGGAATCCAGCTTTACCCTGGACACCTCTTTTATCTCACTTATGTGTAAGCCAGAAAAAGGTACTTTCCCACTCTCCTTCCCTTTCTTTTCATCTGTCTTTATCATTTCCAGGGGTGGTGGCCATTCTGGATGTGGCAATTTACACAGACATACAAAAGGCAGTTTGTTGTGCATCCACCCCCTGTAGCCCCGAATCTATGTTGTCCTGGATAGCCTAGAACTCGCTATATAGACCAAGGTGGCCTAGAACTCACAGAGACCTGCCTGCTTCTACTGGGATCAGCCACTATACCTGACATACAAGTTATTGACAAACAAATAGTTTTTTGGGAGCATTTTCTAGACATTTTCAAAAGTACTGAAAACATAAAATATTCACATATTACCAACATAGGGGCAAAGATGTAGCCCAGCAGCAGAGAGCTCTGTCAGACATGTGTGAGGCTTATCTGTGACCCTTCCACTAGTGTTTCTTTTCACATACAATTGTCGGACACATGTGAGGCTTATATGTGACCCCTCCCACTAGTGTGCTTTTCACATAAAATTGTCGGACACATGTGAGGCTTATATGTGACCCCCCCCACTAGTGTTGCTTTTCAAATACAATTGTCAAACATCCATGAGAGCAGGAATATGGCGTGGATGAGTTTCACACGCTAACCCTACACTGCACAGGGGCTGCATTTGTTTACATTTCTCACATGTCAGAGTATGAGTTCTCCTTTAGCTGAGTTCCTTGACACTTGGTGGATGCCACTTTAGTAATTACCAAAACATTTTGAATATGAATTATGCTCACTTCCTGCCAGTGAATTAGTTTGAAAATATGAGGTGAGGGAACACACACATGATCAAAAACAATAGGATTAGCATTCAATATACTCATTTTTAGGTTCCCTCTTTGCCTTTTTTTCTTAAGACAAGACCAACTCTGTGACACCCCTACCCCCCACAAAGTCTCCCTCTGGAGCACTCTGCTCCTAAACTCAAGCCCTTCCTCCGAGATCACAGGTGTGCCTAACCACACCCAACTTCAGAAATTCTTAAACAAGGTAATTTATGAATCTGAAGACTTTATTATTTTGCTGTGCTGGGGATGACGCCCTGTGCTGCATACATGCAAAGAGCTCTACTGCAGAGCCATGCCCCAGCTAGAATGAAGTAAAAAAAGCAATAGCAAAAAGCTAAGTGGATTACTAGGATCAATACTTGTATTACTTAGATGGTAATAAAACAAACAACTGGGCACAGTGGTTGTATGCTAGTCCCAGCTGAGGCACAAGAACCACCTGAGTCCAGTTTAGTCATTAAGTTCCTATGAGTCTTTTTCTGTTTTGCAATGGATTGAACTGAAGATCTTATATGTGCTAGGCAAGTGTTATACCATTAAGCTATGCTCCCAGCTCCCTTTAGAACTTCTTGGCTGTAGGCAGACTTAACAAAATTGTTCATCTAAGGTACTTGAGGTAGAATATAAGGTTGACTAGCCATAATCCTTGCTTGGGTAACTGCAACCCCACCCATGTATTGATTTGGCATGGGTGGGGGTGGTCATACCAAAGCAAAGGCAGCAGTCAGAGGGCTACTTGTTGGACTTATTTACCATGTGAGTCCTGGAGATCCAGTTTGGGTTGTCAGGCTTGGTGGCATCTCTGAGCCATCTTGTCAGGCCCATATAACTCCATCTTATCTTGAAGCAAGCTATACATACCCTGAAGTATCCCAGAAGCTTGGCAGTCTAGACACGCTATCTTGCTAAGGCAAACACGCTGTGAATTAGATATTTGCTATCTTTACGTTTTAAAGTTTTGTGCATTGGAAAGTGTATGGCTACATGTATTGCTGTCTCCTCATTTCAATAGAAAGATGGCAAATTTTCCTCTAAGAAAATAAGCTCACAGCAAAATGTCAGAATAGACTGGATTTTGTATCCTTTTAAAAAATCTGTGTGCCTGTACCTGCCTAGTATGCATGTAGAGGTCAAATTGCAACTTGTGGATTTGGTTCTCTTCTTCCATCGAGTGGGTCGAGGAGACTGAACTGGTCAGGCTTGGGGCAAGTGTGCTGATCCACTAGCCAACTCACCAGTCCTATTCTGTATTCTCTGTAAATCTACCGTATTTTTAAAAAAGTCATCAGATGATCCAAGATGTTACAGTAATTCTGACAACGCTTTTCTAATGAAAACTATCTACTTATACTAAGTGAGGGTGGGTAAGATGGCTCAGCACAAAGTCTCCAGCTACCAACCTTGATGATGTGTTTGATACCTGGGGTCCACATGGTGGAAGGAGAGAAGTGACTCTGACCTCCACATGCATGCTATGGCACGAGCGTAACCACACACAACACATCCTTACACACAACTTACACACACATAAATATTAAAAATACTTAGATGTACTGTATCAGTTATTCCACCACTGCCTTCCAAATACAATGCCATACCCATTTTCCTTTATCAAATCACAACTACAACACAGTTTATTTAAGAAAAGTTTTACTAATGTGTTAATATTTCAGCAAAGTTATTGCAACAAGTTTAAAAGGCAGACAGACTAATATAGGCTTTAAAGGAACAAATAAGGTTTATACAATTAAATTATTACACAGATTTATTGGGATTACTGAATAACCACAAGGCCCAGAAAACAAATTAAATCTGAAAGATTAAATCCAGTATTAGCACCTACAGTATCTCTAAAAGTTAAACTTTTAACTGCTTCATTCATTCCTTAGCTTTCTTAACTTTCAACCAAATACAGTGCTCTCAAACTTCTAAAAGAAAGGACATAAATTCCAATACTAAGAGTATAGAGATAAAGAAGAGCTGGAAAATTGACTTGAACTTGCAAGTTTAATGTGGAAGCCAAAACTTACTCGAGTCAATGAAAAGATTTCTGTGCCCTGAATACTGTATGTGGAGGCTATGAATCAGAGTTTATGAGTAGGTTACAAATTAGCAACATACAGCATAATTCCTATTAACTTTTCTCCTAAGTTATATCTGTAACAAAACTAGAGTTAAATGTCACTTGCTTGTTACACACTTGGGGCAGAGCAGGGACAGGCATATCTGATGGTTGAGCATCTATTTATTGTGCTTACTGATTTGTGTAATGAACAAGCAACACACACAACATCTTCCCGACATTTCGAGGTAATGCACATGAACATAAATGCTTTCAAAGAAACAACCTGAATTGCATTAAATACTGCTTTAATAATAACTGCAATACTAAAACAAATAACATATATTATTCTCTCAGGGAGCTTCAGTTTCTGAAATTGAACAGCAGAAATCAATCTTAAGATCGGAATCACGTCAAGACCGGCAGCTTTTGGAGATCTGGGTGGTGCATCAGCCAAAGCACATGTGTGACACACCCTCAAAGCCTGTCACTAATGTGGGGGAGTAACTGTGCTAAGTCATGACTTGTTGAGTTATAAAGTCACCTAGGGAACTGGTCCAAGGAATGAACAGAACCAATGATACTGGTGTCAGGTAAGAAAAAGACTTTGTCTTGGGCTGACCAACTGCTTATTATTTAAATGGCTTTGAATTTTAAAAAGTGAAATGCTTCCTTGTATTTTCTTGAAACGAATCAAAAGATTACAGAGTCCTACACAATTGGGAGACACGAAGTGGATGCTGAGCGACAAGAGGTCACTCCAGGTGTGGCACCGTGGCTCTGGCAGCAGATACAAGAGAATACGCTCTGGAGAGGAGGTAGGGACACTCTGCCATCGGCCAGTGGATAGACGAAGGTCCCAGCTGGAGGCGGGATCTGCAGGAGGTGAAAAGTATTTTAGAAAGGAATGCTAAAAATAGCCTGGGAAACCACCTCTTATGACATGAGCTACGCTAACATCCAACTGCTTAGCGAGCTGTGGCAATTAATCACTTAGAATGTGCTGTCACGTAAGTGCTAGCAAAGGTCAGCTACTTTATCACTCACTAATTCACTGTGCTGGCAATTATATTTCATCTATTTTTAACCTTTATTTTATGTGCTTTGCCTACATGTGTCTGGACCACCTGTGTGCATTGCCGGGGAGGCCAGGTGAGGGTGTCAGGTTCTTTGAACTAGAGCTACAGTTATAGCCAGGGGAGCGCTGGTGATTGGACCCAGGACCTCTGAAATGGCAGCCAGCTCTCTTAATCACTGAATCATCTCTCTAGCCCCATTTCATCCTTTCTATAACATAGACAATTCTCTAGAAAACATATGCATCTAATATAGATAGTAAGATATTAGAAAACTGAAAGGCAAAATATTTTTTGCTTAAAGAGCTTTTAAAAAGTAAAGGCATTCCCATGGTTTGTGATTTCATGTTATACTATTAATCTAGACAGCACTCTGTAGACTTTAAGAGAAACAGTCAAACTAAGTAAGCCATCCTTACAGTTTAATGTCCTTCTCTAATATCCTATGCCACACGGGATCCTGAAATTAAGGAACACAAAGCTCTGAAAACTACACTGCATTGAACAAAAATATTTGCATCCATGAAACTATCTAGAAATTCCTAACGCAATCTTTCCCATTTTAAAATGTCACTGTTGTCTTAATATTGCTACATTAGGCTCTGGGGATAACTGCTCACAACTTTCCACCACTCCAGAAAAGCATCCTGAAAGCAGTAACAGCTGTGAGTCCTGACACATGGGCTGTGCAGTCAGTGCAGCTGTGACTGACAAACGCACTCCAACAGCACACAACAAAACCACACAGAGTGCCTGGGGGTTCATCTGAGAGACATCAGACTGGAAACTGTACGTGAGAAAATGTATGGGCAAGTAATGCTGTGCTCAAAACAAAGCCTTTAAAAGAAATAAAACATATGGCAGTCATTATTTAGACCTCTGGCTTTCAAAACTTTAGGTGATACATTAATTATAGCTAAAAGACCACAGTTTTGGAATGTTGAGTGATTTATAGGATTCAGTAAATGAACAGGAGAAAAATGGATTTTTAAAAAAGCTACTGAAGAGAAAGGGCATTAAGAACCCATGATCTGTCATTCTGTATGTTTCTGTTGCTGTAAACCTTGAGACGAAGCTGGCCTAGAATGGGCCTTTGTGGCTAATCAGCCTTGAACTCATCCAACACTTGTTAGCTATGTTATCTTGATTGCTAGTCTACTGATCTCAGTTTGTTCCTCTAAAGTGGAGACTTGTGAGATTCAGAAGGGCTGTTAACACAGTACCCAGCAGAGGAGGAGCCCACAAATGGCACCTGCTAGTTTTGTTGACCTAGAAGATGTTCTGTGTTACGCTGCCTGTTAATCAGGAGCAGGCACCTGCGAAGCTCAGCAGACCTGTAACTGAGATGGAGGGACAGTCAAGTAGCATTCTATCCTTTAGAGAGCTGGACAAACACAGGGGCAGGCTCAACAACACCTGACTACAGGTTTCTATTACCGTAACTAATTTGTTCCTATTTATTAAAGGGTAGCACCTGGATATACGAGAATATTAAGGAATGAAATTTATGTTGTACCCTCCAGGTAAAGTTTCTTCCAAAAAGCTCTGAAGCCATGATCCTCCCACCCCAAAATGTCCCTGGGCCTCCTCAAAGCTAAGGCATATAGGCAGAAAAATCTCTGAGCTGATTCATATGTATAACATCCAGCATTTATGAGGCTAGGACAGCTCAAGCATTAAACAAGCTAAAGAAACACCTCTCTAAATATCACAGTAACAACCAGTCTTAAGATAACAGAGGGGAAAAATAAAAATTAAACTGTATAATCGAGTAAATTTGGGTTACATACACATTTAAAATACAAAGTGAACCTGTGATTAGCTGACACTTATACAACGAGTAGAACACCCTACTTGATTTAGTCTGCTGTTTACCAAGCAGGAGGAAAAGTCATGCATAATTAAAAATCTTAACACTGTGTATAAACCATGTGATTTCATAGTCACCTTTAATCCTATGGTTTATCTTCCACTGCTCACACCTCTGTCTTCATAGATGGTGATTTCAATCTGAACAGCATGGCCGTTAAGAAAACACACTGAACTGTAACACATGAAGCAGACAAACTACAGCAAGATGGTGTGCAGTTTGGTTTATGCATTCTGTTTTGCTTATCTTTGAATTATTAAAATGTCTTCCTACTTTATTAAACATGCTTTTTCTGCTTTGCAAAAAGTGTTTATTATCTGCTATGATTTGAGTAACTTCTAAAACTCTAGTTTTAAAAAGAATCTATGAAGTTTTTTTTACATTTATTTATATTTATGTTCAGCCTACATGCATGTACACCAAGTGTGCGCAGCACCTATCATGAAGTTCAGAAGAGGGTGTGTAATCCCCTGGAACTGGAGCTATGGCTGTGAACCACCACATGGGTGCTGGAAATCAAACCTGAGTCCTCTGTAAGAGCAGCCAAACCATTTCTCCAGTCTCTGGAATGAATATATATAAAATCTAGATTCACAGCTAAAAATTCATAGGAATTTAGGGGCTCAAAAATGCCCTGAAATTATATGAAAGCATTTCTTGGGAGAGGTTTCATGACTCCTTAAAGAACCATTGCTATAGAGTAAAATAAAACTCTGTATCAGTTGCATAGCCTAGGATAATGTGACTAAGTTAACAATTATTTAGTCATTACTTCATTTATCAAGTAAATGAGGTTTTGCAATTTTATTTACCAAATCTACTTAGTGATTTCTCAAGGCCTAGTGCCTCTAGAAATACAGACAGTATGTCTGAGGTAACGGAGTTACACATCTGGCAGCTGCAACAGACTTCAACTAATTACACAAATCTAGGGACTGCAACTCATTTGGATGGCAAATCTCAGCAGACATTTCAGAGGGGCTTCAGGCTCACAGTCTCTGCAGCTGAGATACATCACTCTTACAAGCATACTTTTACCTAAGATGCCCTCAGAACCCAGAGAGATAGTAAACAGAATACTAGACAATCCAAAGATCGGTACAATGCAGAGTTCAGAGATGTGCTTTAAGTAAGAAAACATGTCGGCGAAGGGATGCTTATGGTATATAATTCACATGAAAATTCTGAATGCACATATAAGAAGGAGTAGGAGCTAAATTCTCTCTGGTCAAGGACAAACAGTACCATGTTCTTTTTATAGATATTTGGACCTTCTGATCTGGACTAAAAAGATACAACTCGGAGTCCTCTCTCAATGGGGTCTGTTAGGAGGAGGCCTTGGGGAGCATATATCTTCTCATTCTGTTCCTGAATGTATTTGGAGACTTTCTTCAGGACCTGCCAAAAGGAAACACCACAGCTTTTTTATAGATTTCATTTGAAGCATTAGCCAGATATCAGAATATTCAGACAGTGAGCTGGTTTTCAATGCAAGTCATATGATTTATAAGGCAGAGCTCTTGTCGGCTGCACACAAGTCACAGTGTGTGCAGAGTACTGGGCAAATATGCAGACATACAGTGAGAAGCAACCCCTAACCCGTTCACCTCCGTCCTGGGCACACAGAAATCCTTTATACACACACAATTTCCCTTCTACTACTCACAAAGTGTCACCAGTTACTAGGACCTCTTCTAATATGAAGGATCGCTCTGCTCTTGCTGCTTAAGAACTACTTTTCTCCCTCTTGTGTGTTTTCAGCCATTTAAAGTAATGATTGGCCAATAACAAAAGGGAGCTCTGTCACGCTCCTGGGAGGTTTATTTCCTTTGTAAAGCACACAGATGTGAATGCTTGCAGGGCTTCTGATCACAGGTGTCTTGAATCATTCCTATGTTTGCATACATTGATACTCTGTAGCTTTCTCGTTTCCTAGACAGGAACTTCAAATTATAAATTTAGTATTAAGCTTGTAAAAGTCAAAACAAATGTAGACAAAACCCAGACAGGACACAAAGTAACATTGAGAAACAGCAATTCTAAGAGAGTGAGAAAATATGGCTTTACCTAAAGTCAAGGAGCTACAGGCTTTACTTCAGGCTCAAAGTCATCAGATCCCCTATTTGGCTTTAGCATTCTAAGGAATTGTGATTTAATCTTTAAGTTACCCAGCACTTCCTTAGATTTATACTATGAGCAAATGACGAGGTTACAAACTGGATCACAATATAGAGGAAAAGCAATGCATGAAAACAAAACAGCACTAGATGTCAAGCACTGACTAAGTGCACAGATGTACCAGGAAAAGGAACAAGGAGGTAGAGGTTACAATTGAGATATTTTATTTAGTATAAACTAACTTAAACTATGAAGCCCTATTGTGGTTTGAACAGTTTTCTTATTGAAGGAAAATATAAATACTAATATACATATTACATATAACATTACATATATATATACACACACACACATATACATACACATACCATTTAGATTCTATCTTTGGGGGTAATATAATTTCAGGTTTATTCCCTTTTTAAAAACGGTATGGATAGATACTGAAAGAGCAATCTACATGGTTCTTTACTTAGTAAATTTAAAACATTTTTTCTAAAAATAACAACTTTTTAAACCTAACTAGCTGTAGTAACATGTTTATCTGAACAACGTGAGCTCTGCTTGGTCATGATGAACAAACCCTACAGGCACTATCTTCACAGTCTGTCAATCACTCTAAATTAATGAGTGGAAGGAAGCAGTCCATAAATGAAGCCAACTCAGGACTTTCAATCACCTTTCCAATTCTCCCTTTTGACCCAGTCCATTAATTAATATAAGAGGGAACACAACTGTGTGCATGGACAGCTCTTAAGAATGGATCCCTCTGAACTGCTTCCTCCTTGGGCACAGATTACTAGCAAGGGAATAGCATTTCTTTATTTGATTCAAACATAATTTGTTGGTCAAAATTTCTGTTTAATCTTTAGTACCATTTCTGTGCATCTCTCTCGTTCTCTAAAAATAAACTCCAAATCTCCTTACACTATTTTGGAGAAGGCAATACAAATTGCTTTTGAACTCTTTATTCCTAGCAACAGTAAGCTGTTAATATGGGTAGTCATTCAAAGTTGTACCTGATATTTCTGTCCCAAGAGACCTTAATTAATATGGCATCTTATTCATACTTAATTTAATTTTCTATGTGTATAAGTGTGTGCCTGACCAGGGCACATGTGAAGGCCAAGAGCACAACTATTGGGATTCATTTCTCTGCTGTTACCCTGTAGAGTCCAAGGCTCAAATTCAGGTCATCGGGCCTACACACAAACTCCTCTATCCCCTGAGCCATCTCACTGGTTCTTATTCTTTAAATCAATGTCAAAACAAACCAAGATAACTAAAAAATTACTTTACTCCCAAACACTCAATACAACCTCAACTAGTATAACATTACAAAGTTAAACGTAAACATCAAACCTCCAGGAATAGACAAACTTAGGAATAGACAACCTAAGTTAATGTGACTCAGCACATAGGTTGCTAGAGAGGTAGCATGAACCTGGCTGAGTTGAGATCAGAATCTTGGTGTTTTTGTTTTTTTTTCCAGAAAATATTCAAGTGTCCTTCTAATTACAGCCCACAGGCAAAAGGGATGCTTTCTAGTTAGTAAACAAAGCGGACAGAGAGGAGAACCAATTGTTCTCCAATACTAATAGATAGGAACAGTGGAGAAATAAAACTAACGTCTTTATTTTCACTGAAAAATCATTAAATAGCATATTATAAGCAACAAAGTGCATAATTGCTTAAGCAAGTTTTAAGGATTATTGACTATTTCAAAAAAATTCAACCCACACAATAAAGTGTAAGCATTATATTTAGTTTACTGCTCACTGACTAAGAAACTTTTGTGTTTAAAACACTGGGGTCTAAATGATTCAATCCCAGCTTTGCAGAGAGAACCAAAGGACATGGTTTGCTGTGCAAGCCTCATGCCCTGAGTTCAGATCCCAGAGCTCAGGCAGAAGCTGGAAACAGAAGCACAAGCACCTAGAATCCAAGCATACTGTAGCAGGAGACAGGGAGTCTGAGGGCCAGTTAGCCTGGAATATACAGCAGTGAACAAGAGAAGGAGAACACAGGGAAGACAGGGCCTGTACCCGAGGTTACTGATTTCTACAGGTGCCCTGGCACATGGATGTGTGCACATAAATACATAAAAATATTTTCTTAAAAAATCTACTTTAAGAAATTGTTTAACATTTACTATAAGTGAGGCAATATATTAATTCCAAGATCTACTTTATAGTTGAGAGAACACCAAGAAAATGAATGTGTCCAAGATCCTATCGCTAGAATGACTTGTCTAGTACCCAGTTATTAATTTCTTCTTACAACTGTCACTCCAAAGGATGTACTTCTCTCACTGTTGGCAGAAACATACTTCTTTAAAAGCACCGCTGGATAAGTGTGTTTTTAATCTAAGGGAATTCAACTTTCCATCCTCCCCCAAAGTTAAAGTTAGCTCCTGCCCGAATCTGTTATCAACATATCCTTTGGAATCAGTCACTTCCTTCCACCCAAACTGCCCTGCTCCTAATCCAAGCACTCTCAGCTTGGACTTCTGTGAACTCCCTAACTTGTCTGTCCATTCCCACTCTTCTTTTAAGAGGTCTGTACTGTGGATATCTTTACAGGAAGTCATTCTATAAACATTTTAAGAATTTACAGGTATGTTTGGAGTTTACTGTGGAAACTTAAGTCATTTATTTAACACATATTCAAGGAGTGCCTAACATAGTCAAAACATGGTTTAGGCATTAAAATACGTAACACAATGGTTAAGGCAATACCTGTAGTTGAAGAGGACACAAACCCCTATGTTCCACAGTGTTGCATAAGTGCCAGAAAATGGACACAAGAGAGAAATAATCTGATTATGAGAGAGAAAATGGGACTGGTCGTAGCTGGGAATGAAAAGAACAGCTACTGCTGAAGAGGACCACAGAGCTACTGTCTGACTGGAAACCAAGTCCAGCTGCTGAAACAAGCACAGGAAGGGGATGGGAGACAGCTAGGAAGGCGACCTGACACCAGCTTCAGGAGGAGCTTGCCTGATCCAGTCTGATCAGGCAAAGATGGAAGGCCACTGACTTGGGAGTGGCAGGGGAAGTAAGGCTGTGTTTTACAAAGACTGGAAGGTCAGGTTGGAAGAGCAAAGAACAGGGAGAAATGAGTTAGGAGAATACCAGTCTCCTAACTAAGAGTGAGATGGAGGGACATCAACAGAGAAGACGGCTTTAACAAATGGGGAAACAGAAAACACTGCAGTTCTTTACAACTGAGTACTTTCCCTCTTCAATTCTCACACCTAACGACAGGCTAAAAAGACAGGGTACGCCTGAAAGAATGGGGAGATGGGACACTTGCATTCTGAGCATCTTAAGTTGGCACCAGAAACTCTAGATTTGGTAGGCAGCTGAAAGAGAAGGAAAAAAGCTCAAGTTGGAGGATAAGATTGAATATGAAATTTTGGAAAACAAAGTAATGAAGACAGAGATTTTCTACAGCCACTTTACACGAGGACTCTCAACACTAACCTGCTACTTCAAGCAGACGTACACATTCTGACCTGTTCTTAAACATTTAGGGCTCACTCCTGCATACTAGGAACAACAACAAAATCTGAATTATTTTAAACACGCTTCTAAAGTTTAAAGCAACTTTACTATATAAAAACTTACCTTCTTTCATGATTTTTAGAGAGCCTCTAAACACAAATATACAGTACCTTCTCATAATGAGTTTCCATGCATAAGAAGATGGTATATGCTGTTAAACAAGCCAAACAGCCTTCAAGATATGACTGGCCCCCAAGCTTCTCTGCTTCTGCGTAAAGGTTATTTAGAGTTCGAACTGTTTCTTCAAACTGCTGTCTATCAATCTGTAGGGAGGAAAGAATTTAAAGTTTTAGAAACAAAGATGGTAAAGTCATTGCTTGCTACCACAAATTCACCTTATTGTTTTGACAATATTCTGAATTTAAAGACAAGAACTAGATCAGGGGCTGGAGAAATGGCTCAGCGGTTAAGAGCACTGACTGCTCTTCCAGAGAACCCGGGGTCAATTCCCAGCACCCACATGGCAGCTCACAACTGTCTGAAAATCCAGTTCCAGGGGATCTGACACCTTCACACCAATGCACATAAAATAAAGATAAATAAATCATATATATTTTTTTAAAAGAACTAGATCAGGCATGGTAGCATACACTGTGCCAGTACAAGGGATTCCAAGGCAGGAGGATCAGTCTTGGCTGGGGTTTGAATGAGAATGGCCCCCAAAGGTTCATGTTGTAATTCTTGGTCCCCAGTTGTGGAACTATTTGCTAAGGATTAGAAGGTGTGGCTGTGTTGTGTCACTGGGAGTGGGCTTTGAGGTTTCAAAAGACTCTTGCCAGGGCTGGTGAGATGGCTCAATGGTTAAGAGCACTGACTGCTCCTCCAGAGGACCTGGGTTCAATTCCCAGCACCCACATGGCAGCTCACAGCTGTCTGTAAATTCAGTTCAAGAGAATCTGACATCATTATACCAATGTGCATGAAATAAAGTTAAATAATGTTTTAAAAAAAAAAGACTCTTGCCACTCTAGTTAGCTCTTTTTCTGTCTCCAACTTGTGAATCAGATTTAAGCTCTAAGCTTTTGCTCCTGTGCCATGTCTGCCTGCCTGCTGCCAATGCCCGATACCATGACAGTTATAGAGTCTACTCACCCTCTAAAACTGTAAGCAAGCCCCCAATTAAATACTTTCTTTCATAAGTTGCCTTCATCATGATGTCTCTTCACAGTAGAGAACAGTAACTAAGACATTAGTGATATAATGAATGCTGAGATCAGCCTGGGCTCATAAGACCTTATCTAAAAACCAAACTCTAAAAGATGAAGTGACTATCTTTTTATGTGGTTAAATCTGGATCCATGTTACTAATATAACTGCTTGGGTTTACTATTCATCCTAGGGGATACTAGAAATCTTGATGGTTCAAACTGCTACTTCCCTATACTGAAATTCTAATGATACTATCTTTAGTCATATATATTTGTATTTTGAGCACCTACAATGCTATGACCAGTCTTTATATACACACACCCTTAATTGTAGGGGCACATAAGAGGTTCCTTTTATCTTGGAAGAGTATTTATTTTTATTTTTTTTAAAACAGAGTCTTACTCTGTAGCCCAGGATGACCTCTTACTTGTGATTTTCCTGCCTTGCCCTTCCAAATGCTGGGGTTTAAGGTGTGCACCACCATTACCAACTGAGAGTAAGCAATCTTAAAGCAAGCATCTGAATACTGAATTTACTAGGAAAACGGCAAGAGTATTTTAAGTAGAGTGAGCAAATGGTAAGTTTTATGTTGTTTTCTCAGGCTCTCCTTTTGAAGCAATTATTTTGTTACTAGATCCTCATACTATGAGAAGGGCAAAGTTCTCAAACTGACACAATGCTTCACAATAAAGCCATTTCTAACCTGGCTTTATTGACATAAAGTACCCACTTTATTTAGTGACATTATTACCCCATGTTCACACTAATATATTTGTCATTTGTCTCCCAGTGACATTTTAGTTAAGGACAGGCTGTATATGTTCCAGAAGATTGTATCACTAGTTCCATGGCATATATGCAACTTATGATGCTCAGAGGACCCATTTCTCAGATCACGTTTGGGTCGGTAAGTGGCAGAGGAAAACTGCTACTGCCATCCCGTTTTTCACTCTGGTTGAGATAGGGTCTCAAGAATTCCAGACTTCAAACTCATTATGTAGCTAAAGACAAGATGACTTTCATGTCCTGATCCTTGTATCTTCTCCATCTTGCTAGGATTAACGCACAAACTATTACACCTAATTTTATTTGGAACAGGTACAGAACCCAGGGCTTCCTGCACATGAGGCAACTACTCTAAAAACTGAGTTGACTTTCCAGCCCTAGTAATTTGTTTTCACTTTCTTCTAACACTGTTTCGTATACTTCAACTTTCTATTCAACTTTCTATAGTTTCTCCTAGAAATTTTGATGCCCATTCGTATGTAGAGTATTTCACTGGTGACTATCATTCTGACCCAGGGCCTCAAACACTCTGGGCAAGCACTCTTACTACCAAGCCACATATTTAGCCCAGAAAAACAATTTTGAAAGTAGATAATATTTTATGATCTAGTCTTTGAGCTCTTAAAGTTTCTTAGGTCAGAGACAGTTGTCCTTAGTTTTTATGACAAGGGCTAGGTGGACAAAGATTTTGAGAGAGGCAGCTAGGCATAGTGGCACACACATTTAATCCCAGCCTTTGCGAGGTAGAGGCAGGCAGATCTCTCTGACTTTAAGGCCAGTCTCCATAGTGGACTCCAGTACAGCCAGAGCTACACAGTGAGAAATACACTGTCTTGAAACACACCCCACCACCAAAAAAATAAAAGACTGGTCACAGAAGACCTAAGCCACGGTGCTCTTGCACTGGGATCACATCAGGACAGTTCAGGAGTTAGCCTAAATTAACCCTTTGGGTAGCTAGTGAGATTTAACAGTCTCAGTTTTGTTGTTACTTTATTTATCTAAGTCTTATGATCTGATCAATTTGTTTAAATTGTTTGCATTTCTTTATATACAGTGATTCAAAACAATGAAATCCAACCCAGGATTACCTTATTTCTTCCATATTACAACTGTCTCTTGGACTAGGAATACTAATTATTATTCTGAGAGTACCATAGTTTGCAAAATGGAGGTGAACCATTGGCTAGTTTAATAAACAAAATCTGAAGTCAGGGATTCATTTTAAAGCTAAGAAAACAAAAAGGAATAAAGTTGTTTTAAAAGCATATGAGAAGAAAATTTTGAGTTTTAGTGGTCAAACATTTACCTAACACATATGAAATCCTGGGCTCCGACCTTAATTCCTGTATGTACACAGCACAAACAATTTTAAGAAGTTAATATAAAGGAGTGTGATGGATGGGGGCATAGACAGGAACAGTTAGGGTAAACAGCACTAACCATTATGGGCTTTATAATGTTCTGGGTTCGTGGAACACATAAAAATAGTGGCCTCACAAGATTATAATGGAGCTGAAAATTCCTACTGCCTAGTAGCATGGTAAACAGCAGCTCAATGCATCCCTCACCACTTGTGGTAATATCAGTACAAATAAACCTAAGCTTCTAGCTTACAAAAGCACATGCAACCAATACTTAGCAATGGCAGCAAGTGATTATGGTAGTGATCTACTACATATAATGTATGCTATCGCTTTCAATGTTCTGGATTGCACTCCTACTTATAAATACAGCAGCAGCAACAACAGATTAAAGTGCTTATGCCATGATCTACACATAGGCTATGCTACCGTTTTTGGCGTTCTTTTGGACTGCATTCTTCCTTTCTTACACTTAATGTTGGTGTAAGTATATGGTTAGCGCAACAAACCTGCCTTAGTGATGTATTTCAATGTTGCACTTAAGCTTCAAAGAACGAACTCAGGCGTTCTTAAAATCTGTTATGTCTAAGCACATTAAGAGAGTCATTAATTCTCCCAAGATCTTCGGATATTGATTTAGAAACTATATTGAAAATTGGAACCAAATACAAAAATATGGTCTGATAAACATCATTCAGAATAGAAATAGGGGTTATTTTCTCAGAAGTGTTGTTCTTGTTGAAATATATATCCCTGAAGCCTGAAGAGATCACCAACACAAGACGCCAAGTCAAGGCTAATTCTGCTGACTAGATCAAGGACAGTTTGTCTCTACCACAGTTCATTTGGAGTTTTTTCTATCCCGAAGACCAAGGGTGACTAAAACATTTGCATTTTGGCTAAAATGACAACAAAGCTTCCTTTGAAAAACTACCGAGGCATCTAAGGACGTCGGTGTCAAGGCACCACATTCTCCCAGGCAGGACTAAGGATGTAAGTGTCAAACATCCCATTCTCCCAGGCAGGGGACTCTTGTTAACTGACACAATGCATCCATCCACACGCTCAAACAGCATGCATGTAGTTTTTTTTTTAAACTAATGTAATATAAGGCACTTGTGTATTAGTTTCTTTCTCTATTAAGCTGACAAGTGTGATACTCCCACAGAATGAAACTGGGCCTACTAGCAGAGCAATCAGCAGTATTTCTAAGTTAGTAAAGAAATAAACCTTTCCCATCACATAAAGTAAGGAAAACTTAAACTTATAATCAACAGATACACATAAAGCTTTTCCAAATAGTTTAAGATATAAACTGAAGTTTAACTCACACACTAAAAAAGTCAAAAGCACATTCCATATAGTGTTCAGTACCACAAGCAATTCCGGGGTTTATCAAGTCAAAGAAGTACCATTTTTGGGTGCCAGAATTTAGCAACATCAATTTCCTGGAATAATGTGGGGCAATGTGATTACAGCTTATTGCTTAAATTTAAGATTATCAAAGAACGGTTCTACTATACCCAAAAGCTAATACCTGATTTTGCATATATATGTGTCTGGCTCAATAAAGAGAGAAGTTTTACCTTCAAACCAGCAAACAAAGGCATTTAAATGGCATTTCACAAACAAGTGAATCAAAATCACACCACCCTCACTCTTTCTGAGACTGAGTCTTGTTATGCAGTCCATATTGGTCTATAACTCAGAATCCTGCCTCGGACACCCAGGTGTTCGTGGTCACACTCTATACAGTATCTTTTCAAACCTTGTTTGATCTTTAGTTTGAAAAGGCAACTGGGCCACTAATTTGCCTATGGTCATAAATTAAACTTAAGGAGAAGATAACTAACCAACGATTTTCCAACACTAATATCAGTCAATGCTAGGGACTGAAAGCAGAGGCTCACACATGCTAGATAAGTGTTCTACCACTGAATTATGCCATCAGGATTCCCCTCTTTTCAAGCTATTTTGGAGTAGGATATCTTCAAGCTGCCCAGGCTGGCTCTGAACTTGACACCTTCCTGCCTTAACTTCCCTAGTGGCTGGGATTACAGGCCTAACTATTTAGTGTTGGGGACAGAACCCTGAGCCCTCAACCTGCTAAGGACAGGCTCCAGCACTGAGCTACACCCCCTGCCTACAACCCGACAAACTGATTTTAAATGGCTGGGGCACATTTCTCTAGTACACACTCCTCTCCGCCCACCTAGTTCACAACCAGCATTTCTTAGCCCCACACCCACACCACGCTTAATCATCTCTAAGTTCCTCACCCTTCTAGCTCAGTTTTTTGAAACTGACTTCTGAACGGGAAACGAAAGGTGAGTAACATGGCTGATGAACAAAAGAATCACACTGGGTAGGCACAGGCACACATATGCCCACAGCACTAACTTTGAAGCAGGATAGATTTTGGGGGGCGCTAAATCTGAAGGAACGGCAAACAAATCCATCTTTGTTTATAAGGTTACCCAAAGACCCTATACCTGATGACAGTTTTGATATGCCAGATGAACAGGAAGATCCCAGGGATTGCTTCTGGGGTGAAGAGTTCACTACAAGTTCCTCAGTCATTCCTGCCCAGGCCCAGGGACGTTTTTCAGGTTCCAAAAGGGCCTGTCCGGCCTACCAGGCACATCACTAATAAACCCTTTCGGCTGAACAGGATGATCAGCACAGTGACCACAAGCATCAGTCATGAGAATGATGACGTTTCCTTTTGCGTGGAAAGGCGGTGGGGTATAGGTCACCACGGGCTGTATGAGGCAGCCTGGAGTTCCAGGAATTAGCGCCTCATCAAGGTGTCAATAACTCCGTGTGTGTGTGTGTGTGTGCGCGTGCGCGCGCGCCGTGCGTGTAGTATCAAGTTAAGGACACCCCAGGGTAGCGCATCATCAAGGTGTCAATAACCGTGTGTGTATGTGTGTGCGCGCCCTGTTAAGGGCACTACTGGGTAGACTGAAGGCAGTGTGCGTCTTAAAGTTCTATAGATCCCTATACTCTGAGCATTGGCCTTAGTCCCTGTCCAGATACTAGACCTTACCTTCGTACATCTTTTGCCATGAACCTGGAGACAGCGGGTGAGATGGTGGACCCATACTCCCTCCCGCTCCAGGGACTCTCCCTCCCCAGGGCAAGTGCAAGGAGCCAGGCTGTGTGCGTACCCTGTTCTCCAGCTCCGCGGGGAACTTGGTCTGGAACTGGCAGCGTGTGCCGCTGCTGTAGTCTCGTTGGATGAACACCTTCCCGGACACCGGCGCCTGCTGCGGCCTCATGGCGAGGACAGGACCCGCCGCTCTGCGAGTTCGGGGAAGACATGGGTCAGATCGCCGGCCTGGAGCCGGCTCTCCGGCCCGCCAGCCCTTCGGAGCCACCCACCGCCCCAGGATGCCCAAGGCCTCCTCCTCGCCGTTCCCCTTCGCTCATGGCTGTGGCTGAGGGCCTCCAGCTACCCTAGCCCAGGACCCGCGCCCCCCCTTATCCTTGTTCGGCCCTGGGAACACAAACCCGCCTCCTCGGCCCTCCGGCAGCTGTCGCACTGCCTTCGCAGTCACTTACGTCCTGTCGCAAAAGTCTGGTCTCTCCTAAACTCATTCTGCGCCACACATTTACGCCCCGCCCCTCCGACCGTAAAGCGACCAGTTCACGGCTGCGCGCTGCGGCGAGGAGCGCCGTGGCTGGCAAAGGGTTCTCATTCTGTAGGCGGTGGAAGCCCTTCCGGGCGGAAGAGAGTGGAGCTGCTGACCCAGGTCTCCCGGAGTTCGGGGGGAAAGATGCCGGGGTTTGAGACGCAGGATTCCCTGTTAGCTATGGTGAGGCAGTTTCTGGTCACAGAAGTGTTTTCCTTCTAGACTATTTGTGCCAGCTTTCATTTGTGCTGCATCACCGCCTGCAAACCAAACCCACAGCAAGAACGGCCATGACTTCAAATCCCTTAGACACCAACTGTTCACCTACGTTTACAATTCCTCAGCGCAAGGGAGGAGGAGAATCTTTCTGGACTGCATTCTCCCTCATCCCTCCAACTTTTCATTGAGGTGTTGGCTCTTCATCCCAGAGACCTGCTTACACAGCTACGCCCGCTTAGGCGACCAGACTGGACCTTTCTGGTGTTTCCTTCCTTCCTTCCTCCCTTCCTTCCTTCCTTCCTTCCTTCCCTCCTTCCCTCCCTCCCCCCCTCCCTTCCTTCTCCTCCCCCTCTTTTTTTTTTTTCTAATGCAACTTTGCCAGGTAGTTGATGTCTCTTACTGTGTTTTTAAAATAGCAATAGCGCGGTGGCACGCGCCTTTAATCCCAGCACCAGGCGGCGGGTAAGAGAAGCTGATTGGGTCTCTGAGTTCAAGGCCACCCTAGTTTACTTAGATAGTTCCAGGACAATCGGGGAGACGTAGTGAGACCTTGTCCCAAAAATGACTAGCCGTTGCCCTATGAAGGATGTAAGTAATCTACTCACTTAAAATGGACATAGTTTACTAAGTTCTATCTAGTTTGTGCCCTTAAACCACCAGTACAATCAAGATGTAAATACCACCTCTAAGAAGTTCCTTAGTCTTAATAATCCTCCCTTTCTGCCACTCACCAGACCCCTCTGTCCAGACCCTGACCTTTCTGTGACTAGAAATCAGCCTGCGTTTCTTTGTCGGTTATGTAAATTGAATCATAGTTTTGGTTTAGCTCTTACTGTAGAGATTATGTTGAGATTCCTCTGTTGTGTGTGCATGATTCCCTTTCTTTGACTTTGCCAGTTTGTTCATTCACTTACTGATAGACATTTGGGAATTCTCAGTTTTGGAGCAATGAAAATAAAGCTGTATTGACATTAACCTACATGTCTTTGTATGGTGTATTTTTTTTAAGGGGTTGATATTTAGTGTTTATTTCTATCAGTGAGTAGAGGCATTTCTTTTTAAATTTATAAACGTTATTTTTAAAAAGCTTGCAAATGAGTAAAAAAGATCACACAGCAAAATTAACCAGATGCATTTTTTGTACATCTCAATGCATCTCAAAACAGAACAGAAACTGTGGAGCTTCACAATCTTACACTTTTAGTGTCTAATGTATTTTCTGCACTTAACCACCCAAAATAACAACAAAAAGTCCTTGGCAGAATTAAAATACTTTTTTCCCCATTGTTCCTTGATTTGGTTTGCAAAAAAAATTTCAGTTAAATCAATTGATGCTGTAACTGGGAAACTCTCAGATTTATTTGAGAGGGCATTAATCAGTTTTTCTGCTGTCTTTATTACCCTGGCTTCTGCACTCGCCCACAGGCTTCATGTCAAGAAAACATGAATATACCTCCCTTAAGATCTCTTCCTCCCCTTTAAAGCTCTCCCTTTTAGTTTCATGACCTACAAACACACATATTTCTCTTTAGTTCATGAGTAGATGGCTAGGTTGTGGTAAGTATAGGGTTAACTTTTTGTGAAACTACTCAATTGTGTTCCAGTTTTACCAGTCGTGTCTGAGATTTCCAGTTGCTTTACATCTTTGTCAGAAGTCGTGCTTTTGATTTTTATTTTTCCATACAAAATGATTTTCAGTGTCTTGACATGTACTTATTTAGCTGTCATAGTCCCTCTGTGGCGATGTGACTGTTCCATTGTCTGGCGCATGTTTGTATAGTAGGCAGTAGCCCATCAGTGTACTGAAGTATGTGGCACAGGCTTATGCAGTAAAGAGATACTTATTTCAGTCCTGAATCTGTTGGACTAAGATGGGGTGACTTCTTTGGTTTAGCCCTCTGACACAGCTGGCACATTCTAAGGGAATATATATCTTAACCTGGAAAGCAAATGAAAATGGGTGAGGTCTTACAATCCATTTTGAGGGTACATCTCCAGTCATCCAAGAACCTCCTGCAGGGGCTTATAGCACTTATCAATACCTTGAGTACAAAATCTTTACATACAGATTTCTCAGGGAATCAAGTCATGCTAAAACTATAGCATTTGTTTTTGTTTTTGAATTTTGAGATTTATGTTTGAATTAGACACAAGATTTGTAAACATTTTTTTCCCATAGATCGTAGACTGTGTTTTTCCTTTCTTAGACTGTTTATAGGCTTGAGAAAATAGCATGCAAATGTTTTGAGGAGGACATTATTCTGCGTGCCATAAGCATGGATTGAATCTCGCTAGTCTAGTATGATTGCCACTTCATTTGGTTATTTGGTTTCTATTGGAGAGGGGTTGCAGCTGGACTCCAATGCTCAGCTCTCCCATCTCCTTTGTCTCTGCAGGATAAGAACTTATTGTGTATTATCTTGACTATAATTTTTCTCTGTCACTGAGTGTCTGTGTGTGGCTTCTCATCTGCCATCTTACCCAGAAGTGTTGAGTAAGCTCTGTTTTTTTATGGGACAGGGTCCGCTGTTTCCTGGAGGCTGGTCTCAACTCCTTATGGAGCTAAGGAAGACCCTGGACTTTCGATCTTCCTGCCTTTACTACCGAGTGCTGAGATTGCTGTGTAGGCTACTTACTGTGCCAGGTGTATGTGGTGCTAGGGATCAAACCCAGGGTTTTATGTTTGCTAAACAAGCATTCAAATAATTGAGCTACATCCTCGGTCCTAAAAATGTACCTAATAAACGCAGAGATGAATATCGTTATAGAAGCAATAGATTTCTAGGGAATGAAGATTGAAGTTGTTACCTTCTTCCCATTCTGTACAGAAATTCCTTCTACAGCCTTTTCCTTAAGCATCTGGATTCAATTTTCCATTGTTTTGCCAGCTTCCCTTCAAACTGCCTTCTAGATGTTTGTTCATACCTACAGACAAATGCTACTCTCAGTCTTGATCAGAGAATCTTCTCTTTGCAGTGAGTGGCAGTAAATTCAGAGCCTCATGCTGTTCAAGATGCTGAGAATAAGTGACATTTGAGTGCTAAGCCCTAAACAGAACATTTATACCACTCCAGTAAGGCTCTGGAACATTGGAAGAGGGAGAAGAAAGAATGTCACAGCTGGGTGACAAGGAGAAGGGTTGGTTGCACAAGGCTCTCTTCTGGGTATGACATGGCCATTGAAATAATGGGCTCACAGCAGCTGTCATTGTATGCACTGGGTTTGCATAAGACTAGACCTGCCAGCAGTCAGGCTCATGGGCCCTACCCTTCCCTGGGGAACTATTAGTTATTGATGGATGCTCGGGATGGGGAGTCATTGTCTTCAATTGGGTATTCACTGATGAGTTCTATATCTGTGGTGTGTGTGTGTATGTATATGTATATATATGTGTATTATATATATTATATATATATTCTATCCTATGGTGTGTGTGTATTCATTCTATCAGTTCTAATGAGTATCTATCTGTATCTCTGTATCTATATCTATACCTATATCTTATGGACTGAACTGGATTCTTGGACTTTCCATTGGTAGGCAGCAATTATTGGACTAGCTGGATCACAGCCTGTAAACCACTCTAATAAATCCTAGCTAGAAAGAAAAATAGATAGATAGATGATAGCTATTTAAGGTGAATCTTCCTACTGCAAAAGATCTGGATTAAAAGTGACTCTTCCACTGGAAATGATTTTATTAAGAAAAATCCCTCATGTGTATCCAGCTGTTTGGTTTTAACTAGTTCTACATGAAGTCAGGAGTTGACAACCAAGAATAGCCATCACCTTACTCTATATTGTGTAAAAATGTTATTTTTTCAGGCTGTGCCTTGCCCTGAGAGACTTATTTTCCATTTTTATCACCATGCTTCTAAAACCTCTTAAACTGTGCTATAATCTCATCAACTTACATTCATTCTATGACCACATACATAGTAATAGTTACTTTGTGTTATGTGAGGAGAGAGTTAATGTTAGTAATTAAGATTAAAATGGAAGGACTTAACATTTGTCTTGGTCAATTACCAAGGTAGGCAGGATGGTCTGACAGATTGTTGCCAGTCAAAGCCCTGCAGGTTGTGAATCTACTGTTTCAAGTGCTGACGTTGTGGAAAGATGTGTTCATCTGTGTTTACAATATAGGGCTTTATCCATGATTCTTCCGTGCCTTGATAACTGGCTGACACAAAGACAAATTTTCTTTAAAAATGTTTTATTTGCATATACCACCGTTTTCATACATTTTGTGCTTTGGTCATCCTCACTCCCATTACCCACATTCCCTCTCCCACTCTGCTGACCCTCTTCCTAACTCATCCCCCATCTGCTTCCATGTCTTTTGTGTGTGTGTGTGAATGTGCCTGGGTTAAGAGGCCAGAAGTCAGCATTGGGTATCTTACCCTGTCGCCTCCTGCCAGTGTTGGGCTACAGAAGTGTGCCACCACATCCAACTTTTACATGGGTGCTAGGGCTTCAAACTCAGGTCCTCTTCATATACAGCGGGGCTTTATCTCCCTTGCGCCCCCTGGTTTGATCCAATGAGTTTCATTAGGGTTGCTTACAGGAACAAGGGTAGAGGTTATTCACAGGACCATGGGTACCCATCAGTGGTTGTACTACTGAAGAAAATCTGTCTTCCTCCTCTAGCAACTATCAACTTGTCTGTAACTTCTTGGGAGATATGTGTAGTGTATGTCTGTTCTGGCTAGTTTTATGTCAACTTGATATAAGCTAGAGTTATCTAAAAGAATGGAATCTCATTTGGCAAAATGCCTCCATAAGAAGCAGATAGGCAGTTTCTTAGTGATTAATGGGAGAGGCCCAGCCCATTGTGGGTGGTAATATTCCTGGCCTGGTGATTCTGTATTCTATAAGAAAGCAGGGTGAGCAAGTCATGTTGAGCATGCCATAAGCAGCACCTTCCATGGCCTCTGCATCAGCTCCTGTTTCCAGTTTCCTTTCCCGTTTTGGTCCCTGCCCTGATTTTCCTCAGTGATGGACAGTTAACCTGGAAGTGTGAGAAATAACCTTTTCTCCCCAAGTTGCTCTGGTCATGGTGTTCATCACAGCAATAGGAACCCTGACAAGAACAATGTCTGTGATTCATGAACCCCTCTCCCCAATTACTGGCAACTGCCTGCAGATCCTCAGAAACATGGGTAATTTTATTCCAATCTTAACTACTAATACTAACTCTCAAATCACATGATACATATCACACAGTAAATATATCTCTTCATATATGTGTGTGTTACTGAATGTCCTTCAAGAGGATTAAAGAGATTGAAGTATAATCTGAGGAGTTCAAAAGAATCTTTACAGAGATGCAAGGAGCCTCTCTCTCTCTCTCTCTCTCTCTCTCTCTCTCTCTCTCTCTGTGTGTGTGTGTGTGTGTGTGTGTGTAAAAATCCTGCACTCAAAATGGAATAAAAAGCTCCTTATAAAATGGAGTCTCTCAGAGCAACGTACAGCCTGGAAAACAGACGATAACATCGTTTTATCCGATGTGGAGTACAGTTTAGAGCAGGGGCAGTCTGTCTTGGCACAGCCACCATGGGGTTTCTTATTTCTGCCTGTCTTCACATTTCTTTCCTGTGTCTCTTTGTGCCTTCGGCTTTCTCTTTTCCTGGATATGAACAGTAAACATTTGATTTAGGACCCACAGTAATCCTGACTTAACTCGATTATATCTTCAAAGATCATGTCTCCAAATGAAGGTCTGACATTCTTGACTTATGTGGAGTTTGGAATACCATCCAATCCACTAAATCTGTGCTGCTGGGTGAGGGATTTGGCTCATAATAAATATTTGAAACATTCACTTAGGGAGCTGGAGAGACTGTTCAGTAGTAAAAGCACTTACCAACAACCTAAGTTCAGATTTCCAGGACCCTTGGGAAAAGCCAGTTGTGTGGTAAATACCTGTAATCCCAGCACTCCCAAATAGAGGTGAGAGACCGAGACAGGAGAATCGCTGGGAAGCTCATGGGCCAGCTGGTGTGACATATGTGGTGCAGTGGCCACAAGCAAATAGAGACCCTGTCTCAAAAACAAAGTGGAAGGTGAGAATCAACTCCCAAGTTGTCTTCTGCCCTCGCCGTTATGCCATGACCCACATGCACCTGAATTTCCATACACACATATGATGTATGTACACTCATACAATATGTATATATGCATAGGCACACATGAAAGAAAAAGCAGAAAGAGGTTAGTTTCGTTTATGGTTTAGAGATTATAGTCCATGACGTCATTGCTCTTAAACCTCCAGTGTGGCACTGAATGATAATGGTGGAAAGTACTTGCAGGGCCAGATTGTTCACTTCCTGGGCAAGAAGTCACAAATGGGAAGGGGATGAGTATAGTGCCTCCCCCACCTTGTTTGAGCCCACAACCCCAGGACCTAAAACCTCTGATGCGGGAGAATTGTCTATATTCTGTCAATCATATTTTAAATAAACGCTGATTGGCCAGGCAGGAAGTATAGGCGGGAAAACCAGATAGGAAGTAGAGGTGGAGCAAAGAGAACAGGAGTATTCTGGGAAACAGAAGAGTGATCGAAGGGCTGCCACTGCTTTTTTTTTTAAAGCGAGAGAGACCACACCCCAGTGGGTTGGTATCTCAGCGGCTATTGGCTGAAGGAGCGGAAGGAGCGCCCGCAGCCGACCTCTCTCTCACCAGGCTTCACCTCTTAAAGCTTCCACTCTATCTCAATAGTGCGACACTGAAGATGAGGCCCTTAACAAATGGATCTGCAAGACCCAAAGCGGAGCAGTGTGCATCGTTTTGATTCCTATTAGAGATGTACTCAACCAGTAGTGCCCACTCTTCAGTTGACTGTTAATGTTAGGAACGAGGCTAAAGAAATCATATATGTAGCCTCCTGTAGTACCTGCTTCTTGACCTCTTGATCTAGTAACTCCAGTCAAGCAAAGATATCTCAAACTCATCTACCAATGCAAGGTTCAAAGTTGCGTCTAATTCTCTAATAGTTCAAAAAAATCCTTTGATCGTTTAAGGGGCAAAGCTAAGATAGTAGTCTATTGTTGAAAATACATTCTTCCATTTCGCTTGGAGTTTGACAGTTTGCATGTGTTTAGTTTCTTTGAGCTCTACATACTTGCATTGTTTTGTCTCTAATATTCCCAAGACACATTTTGAAAATGAAGAAGGAATTCCTTTTTTGAGTAATCCCGAGAGCCTGTGCAGAAGGGATAGGCAAACCACGAGCACATATGTGATGGACAAGCTCATGTGACTAGGAGGGCAGTTGAGACCTCGTGACAGGCTCATCATTTAGGGAGGAGCCGGGAGGTCTGACATGGAGAGGTGCTGTGTGCAGGGAATGGTGATTGCTCCTGAAGTGGGTGAGACTGAGTCTCTTGGATGAGGGAGATGGCAGGATGAAGGCCCTTTAGCAGAGGAGGGGAATCCGGATAAATATGGTCTTAACCCATCTATATAGTCTCTCCGTCAAGGTGAATGGATGAGTCTTCATAATCCCAAAGCCTCAATCTTTTCCTATGCCTTTCAGAATGGTTTGGTGTTTAGAACTAGTTACCCCGACGAGAGCGTCACCTGCACAGATTGTTACCCTAGAACGCTTCTAGCCCCTTCATTTGAAACTAAATGTTTCCCATATCAGAACAATGCTAGATTTTCTACACCACAGCCTCAAGTCCCACTGTCCTTTGAGTTATTTTCAGCCTTCCTTTCAACTTCCCTCTCTGTAGTTTTGGCCTTCTCTCCAGCTAC